AACTGAAGAAAAGGTCTAAGCATGGATTTAGGTTTTCATTGTTTTTGCAATTTTTTTTTAGGCTTAAATGAGTTGTAGAGTGCAGAGTCTGTTTGGTCTGGTCAGTGGGCAGGCAAATGGCACAGGTGGCACAGTACTGAAACTGAAACTTAGGGTTTAAATCTTAATTTACAACTATATATTTTTTTACTTTGCACTGAATCTTTTCCCTGAAGAGATTTTATCAGTTGACCTACGGTAAAGGGATGTTTAAGTGTGAGCGGCACAGCTTTCTAAGCGCTGACCCTTTCAACAGTAGAATATGAGTTTCATCACTGGTGATGCCTCAGCTCTCCTTCACCTGGGGTCCAAAAAAGCATAATTGCCTTGCTCTCTCTGAGTGAGTGGGATGGTCCTTGCTCTCCTCCCATCACTCAGCACAGTGATAGTCAACGTGAGCGTCCATTAGCTGACCGAACAGAATTGGCAGTTGGTGACCTCTGAGCGTGTTGAGCTGTCAGATGACGTTGCGTTAGTGGTAGTTCAGAAGATGCAGTGGATGGCTTTACATGTTTCAGAGAAAGCATGTGCTTGCCTACGCCCTTCCAACTTGGTAACAGTCATCCTCTAGTCCTTCATTGGTGGTCACAGGACGCTGCCCAAAGGACGCTGTAGACTGGATATTTTTGGTTGGTGGACTATTCTCAGTCCAGCAGTGACACTGAGGTGTTTAAAAACTCCAGCAGCACTGCTGTGTCTGATCCACTCGAATCAGCGCAACACACAATAACACACCTCCACCACGTCAGTGTCACTGCAGTGCTGAGAATGATCCACCACCCAAATAGTACCTGCTCTGTGAGGGTCCATGGGGGTCCTGACCACTGAAGAACAGGGTAAAAGGGGGCTAACAAAGTATGCAGAGAAACAGATGGACTACAGTCTGTAATTGTAGAACTACAAAGTGCACTATATAGTAAGTGGAGCTGATAAAATTGACAATGAGTATAGAAACAAGGAGGTGGTCATAATGTTATGCTGGATCGGTGTATGTAAATGATGTTATGTCTGTTCCACAAGAGCAGACTGAATGTGGAGCAAGAACTTTTCATCAAATTCAGATCATGATAAAAAATCTCCTTTTTATACTTAGAAACACAAATGTGCACTTTCAACAGAATTTCTTCAGTTGTTTCACTGAGCTATGAGTGTGAAATAATTAATAGTGAATAGCACCATGGTTTTGTTATCACCAGGGAAAACTGTGACTTCTAAGGGTAAAACCCATCATACAGCGTGACTAGCAGCTGGTACTGAAGTCCAGTCCCTTGTGTATAGTGTGCACAGGGTCATGACATGCACGAGACCTCGGTCTACAGCTCCATTTCTACCATCCACAGCCTCATTAGACAGTGACCTGCCACTTCCCCTGAGAGCAACAGATTCTAGATTACATCCACCAGCTTTCTGTCTCCTGCTCAAGACACTTTTAAATCCCTCTATCTCACAGGTCAGGGATCAGTGATGCCGTCAGGCCCCGGGTAATGAGGGAAGTGGTTGAGTCCAGGGGAAAGCAATCAAGCCCAGATAAAGGGATGGAGGAGTAGATGCGGGAGGAGCAGGTGCACTGGGTATTTTTTACTCAGAGCTGTTGTTAAAGAAAGCTAACCTCATCGCCTCTGCAGTGATTGCCTGCAAAGATGCGACTGCACACATCAAGCGGGCAATTTTGTTTTTTTTCATTTGGCAAGATGATAGGACTGGTGTTGTCCATTTGATGAAGGCTATACCGGATGGCTGCAGGAAAAAAATGGCACAGTAGCATGTAAATTCAGATAAGATCATGTTTATGAGCTGAGAAAATAAAACACCAATTCAGCAGTGTCTTTGAAGCATTTGCATTTGTTGCATTACTGCTAGAAATGTCTTTGCAAGGCAAACGATACGTTGAAACAGTGCTAAAAATATAATCATCTGATGTCTGGAACAACACAAGCGTTTTGGTTTGATGAAAGAGGATCAAAGATGGAACAGAAGGTATAAACTTAGAAAACTCTTTGATTAGCTATAATTAGAGGATGAGATACTAGCACAGTAAGCAGCAACACCAACTAGCCGGGCTAATTTGTTGATTTCTTAGTGTTTTATCTTTATATAGCTGTTAGTTGTTAAAGGAATACACCAGCAATTTTGTTCAACCTAATTCAGTCTTGTTTTATAAGTCTGCACTTACAAAAGACCACCAAGCTATACACTACTGTGCAAAAATCAGAGACCACTCTTTCATTTTTTTAGTCTCTAGTCAAAATGGCTATTATACATTTTCAGCATCAGGAAAAAAAAGCAGAAAACAAACATACGTAACAGAAAATTACACAGAGGCTATAACGACTATATTTAAATTTTTTCAGTATTTAGTGAGTTCGTCCTTTGCATTTGTTAAAGCTTCCATTCTTTTTGGGAGACTTGCTTTCATTTTTTCAACGAAATCTGCAGGGATATTTTTCCATATTTCTAAACTTCAGTCTTAGAAGTTGGTTGCATTTTCTGCTTTTCACAATCCAAATAATCCCAATTGCTAATTTAGACTCAATAGACCACAAAAGCTTACTCCATATCTTAGATCTAGTTTTAGGTCTAGTTTTGCTGTTCTAGTACATTTTCTTCTTTTTATCCATTCATTTTCTCAGTAATATAGAAAGAAATTTGTGAGGCAGCTGAGGTGTGTTTGGGTAGTTGCTTGTGTGAATACAAATGTCTCTTTGAAGGGGAACGGGATGTCAGTGACTCCTTTGGAAACAGCTTTTGATGGGAGGACACGACTGTAACTGGTTGGTTTTAAAATTGGAAGGATTGAGGAGTTAAAGTGGCTTTAGGCACACAAACTTAAAGAGTGGACACATTGATTACTGTTAGATTTTTATATTCTAGTTAGTGTTTTATATTATAGTTAGTGTTGGTTGCTTTTGCATAATTTTCTGTTAAATATGTTTTTTCTTAACACTGAAAAATGGCAGTTTTCTGGGAAATTGAATAAACGAAAGGTTCTCTGACGTTTGAACTGTACTACACGAGTGTTTTGAGTCAATGAGTTTTCTGTTCTTTTACTAAGTACAGCAAAATGTGTCAACATTGTCTGCAGTAATCAGCCATACAGATGTGGCAGATATAAATTCTTCTATGTGTTAAACACAGAGTAAATATACAGCACATATAAGCATCTGTGGGGTTGTGTTTCAGTCCGTCTGAGCCATACAATCCTTGCACAATACCAAAGGTGTGTGGTTGTTTGAGGGGCTAGGGTTTGTGGAAATTATATGGTGTGAGGTATTTGTGGCATACTGCTGAAACCTGAGCATAATCACGGCGAGTGTAGATGTAGCACGGCGCTAGCAGGGTGATGTGTACTGTGTAAGCTCCATGTCCCAGCGGAACTGAGCACGATTCCCAGTGCAAGGCTTACCTGCTGACAACAGCAAACTGAGCATGCTCCATACAAACAGCTGTGCTCCCCTCTCTGTCTCTGTCTTTCTCTCTCTTTCTCTCCTGAGCCAAGAGAGTTTGCAGTCAGCAGGATATTCATTAGATAACCCTGAGAAAACAACACATTATTTCTACGTACACACTTGCACTCATTGTTATTACGTCTCCTAATACCTGTGGACATACAAATCTCTTCCTCTCCTATTGTCTCCAGTTTTTCTTCATATGCTTTGTGAAATCTAAAGGTATAATCTAAAGATTTTGGTGTAAAAATAGTTTAAGCTTAAAAGGAAGTTATAGGTAAGATTACAAAAAAAAAGAATGCAGATACAGTTTCCTTACACTGGAAAGCAGAATCGAACATCCTTGAAAACTTAACCTGTGAACGTTAGGCTTAGTTTTCACTTGTTAATCTTAAGACTTATTATTCAGTAACTGCTGAAGTTATTCAGTAACTACTAGAAAACTAATGTGTAATCCAGAAGTGACTATTAGAGCTCAGCCATTTTGTTACTGGCCATAAATGTCAGTGCCTCGAAAAACCCTACGTTAATGCAAATCTCTGCTGGTGCCTCTATGACACTGAAATTTGCCTATCACTCGTATTTGCAGTCAGTCATGTATCTGGAACTTCCAAAATGCCTAGAGTCACAATTTTCCGTGAAATTGCTCCCACCCACTGCAAATCAAACAGTGGCTGGTTGATTAAAAAAAAACACAAAATTATCTTTGTGGTTATTCTGATGCACAATGCAGCTTTGAGTCCAGCTCCAGAAGATCTAACCAATGGGAGAGCTAGCTTGGCTCTGTCTAGCAAGACAACCAGAAAAATAAAGACAATTTTCTGTTAGGCTTTTCAAAATCTTAATCTTTATGTTTCCAACAGAAATAGCACTATGAAAGAAGTGTATTATTGCAGCAGTGGCAGAGTTTGAACTCCAGCAGGAAAATCGTATTGAACTGAAAGTACAGACATGCATTTTTTTAGTTCCCAGAAATCATTAGGCCATCTCTAAAGGCCTAGAATGCTTTGAGGGTTTCTCACTGATGTAAGATATTTAGTTATAAGAGTAATATCTGACGTATGGACATACAGATCCTTAAAAGTTGAGAGGATGATAAATTACATCCAGATACACTTTTGAGCAGATCTTGGATATTGTCAGTATTTCTAAAACATGAAGAACTGCATGTTTTGTAAAAAAAAGATTTAGAAGAATTACAGACAGCATTTAAAAAACAATAAGCAGTGTATAGTAACTGTATGAACTGCATAGTAGCAAGCAGATGATCAGATATCAACCCATTATGTCACCTTCTTTTATTAATTTGTTTGATTTGTTGTCTGACTTCACTCCTGTTCTTTCTTAAGTGGTTTACTTTTGCAAATGTTTTAATTGAAAATCATTGTACTTGTAGCCTTTTTTAAATATGGCGCTACTGTTTAGCTGATGCATTTTGGCCATTCCAACTTGTATCATTGTGAAATGTCTTTCAGTATTTTGATGCTATACATTTACCATATCGCCCACTCTTAGGTTCCGGGCTTAGGGCCGAGGTCTGCAGGCCATGCTGTGGCAAGACTGTAAAGGTGTGGATTCCACCTGTGGGGGCAGAAGGCGTGTGCGCTCAGCCATCATCGCCATGAGGCTGCCCTGCTCCTTCTGGTTCCTGCTGCTATTCAGCACGGGAGGCCTCCTGCTCCTGCTACATCTACAGGATCTCACAGAGACCATTCAGCAAAGTCCAGGTCAGTCACACCTTCCATTGTATGCAGAGATGACACAGTACTGTATTTCATATTTGATACTGATACTGAAATAGCTAGTACTAATACTGATCTGATATTATTTTGTTACATTTGAACTTAAGAACTTGGCCATATAAAGGTACTGTGCCCAAACTACTCAAACACCCTAGTACCCTATTGGAAGAATACAAAACAAACAATATGACTTAATTAAGAACTTTTTTGGTCTAAGCACTTTTTTGTTGGTTTGTAGAACACAGTGGGTGTCAGTGTGAGCTTTTCAAATCAGAGATTATATCAAATCATTTCAGAGTTCATCCTCTGATGGTTTTGCCACTTGCTTCGTCTGACCTTGCTGTTTTGAATAGCACTAATCAACGGATATGAAATATGTCTTGAGTAAAGTTAGTTTAGAAGAACACTGTGCATCTTGGAACACTTCGCACTCTTAAACATAAAGCCAGAAGGGGTTCTTTGGAGTGATGCCTACTTTTGGTTTCTTAAAGAATCATTCAAAGGCTGGTTCTTTAAAGCAACCTCTTTAACAGAGTGGGCTGAACTGCATACACAACAGTTTTAGGAATCGGTAGGGGAGCTTGGGGCGATGTATGTGAATAGCCTTCAGTTGTGGAGGAATGTTTTGTTTCCAAATGGCAAAGTAATTGGATGGCTTAATAGCCTCATTTAGTAGCCTCTATCTGCACGACACACACAATGTATTTGGTGCATTAGCTCCCCAGTTGTGATGAATCCATGTTTTATGTACAGTGGGGTCCAAAAGTCTAAGCCCACTAGTGAAAATGCTTATGTTTTGCATATGTTTCTGATTAAATGCAATGTTTTTTGGTTACAAATATACATAACAATTTGAGTATAAATTTGAATATTTACATTAATAAATTATATATTTACATGAATTTCAGGTTTTTAACTAAGAGTCATCTGGACAAATGCTTCAGTGGAAGAGTCAAAAACAATCTGACCTTATAGTACAAAGCACTTAACATGGTCAATATCCCATATTTGCTTAAATACTTTCAAATTTCTAAACTTTTGTGTTGTTTGTTTCCAGGTTTAAATGAAAAAATCTCAGATTTTTAATGTGGTCTCAAACTTTTGGGCCCCTCTGTAGCAGCCATCATGAAGATTGAATGATGCTTTTGTCTTGTAGATGTTCTTTTCGTTTTTGTGTTTAAATGTTTTTTTCTGGGTTTGCAGCCTCAAACAAAAGTTTGTTAATGTTGTAATTTTCTTCATTTTTGATTTATTCATTAATGCTAGCCGACTGAAAGCAGTCAGCTCTAGCCACACGCATACGTGAGGCCATACATGATATGGGACCCATATCTTCCATGTTTCTTGTATTTTATTTTTCCCTTTATTGCATTTTTTACATACCGAAAAACAACAATTTTTCTTTTTGTACATGGCTATTTTCCAACTTCTCTTCATGCTATAAAACTACACAAGCGGTTTTTGTTACTGTGCCTTTATGACTGATCTATGTAAATAATTTCTGTTCTGATTGGCTGTCCTATATTGTGCCTCATTTAAAAAGCAGTTTGGGCTGAAACAGTCTTTAGAACTTTAGTGTGAGAGGGCGGGGTTAAACGGCCGTAGGCTGAATATATAGCTGAATAATTGGTGGATATATGTAAATCATGACGTTACGAGAACTCTGAATTCAAAATCGCCTGTTTTGGCAGCTCAGTTTCCATATATATGAACTGTATGTACTGGGGAGTGAACAATACTTTTGAAATTTTAAAAATGTCTATATTCTACTTGAAACTAATTTTAAAAAAGTGAGGAAAAGTCAGTTTTCCATGACATTGACCCTTTAAAATTAGTTTACAGACATTTTAATGGCAAGAATAAAACCTTACGCTAAAAAACTACTGTAATATCATTCATTACATTAATTATAATAATAAAATAGTGCATTTCAGCAGTTATGTTAATAAGTCCCTCTGCTCACTGCGGTAGAGTTGCGGCATGGTCTCAAAACCACCCAGCCTGGTGGTCGGGCACTTCTTGTTAAAGAACCATTTTTGATGTGCAAGTGTCAAAAACCCTTTTAAAGGTTGTCAAAGTCCTATATCTATTAAAGGGTCTTCTTAGAACCATATGTTCAAGCCAAGAAACATTTAGGGTCCTTCATTTTTTAAGGCGGTGGATCCTGTCACACAGAGCTCCTCTCACTTATGTTCAGTGCTGAACTAAGCACAATGTCACTTCCTTGCTTTTTTCTATAACTAATGAGTTTCACATTACTCTGCATTCTAGCTTATTGCACAGGCGATTAGTAATGTGACAACACCATATGCTGCCTTTTGCAAAAGGGCCTCCAGTAACTCACTAGAGAAAAAAAAACAAAAAACAATTCCATATCTCATATCACATAGTGCCGTAAGCAAAGGCTGATAGTACCATCTTCAGAAAATGTTCAGGTTGATAGAGGCACCGGCATGCAGCATGCTATAGCATGTCTAGTGGCCTATATTACACTATGACTTCCCTGCTGGGCTGTTAGAAGGAGCAGACATGAGGTGTGCTTCAGCAGTGCCACACAGAGAAGCCAATAAGAGAGCACAGAGCCTTATGAGAAAATCATATTATACCGATTTCAGGATACATATGGGAGACATCAAATGTGGTTTGTTTTGTAAGGAAGCCTTTTCTGTCTCTCTCTCTGCCTCGCTGTCTCCAAAATGTAGGTCAATGCTAAACTCTACAAAAAGGCTTAAAGAAAAATCTTCTATGCAGTTTTTACCCTTGTGCTTCCACACTGAAGTTTAGCACAACAAAGAAAGGTGCATGTTTTGAAAACGAGGTTAAGGTCATGTTTACTTTGATTATCAGCTAAGCCTAATAATATCCTCCAGCGGAAACGAACGGATAAAGAAATTATCATCGCAATATTGCAGGATTTCGTAGACACAAATTGAAATGAGGTTTTCTTTTTTTAATCTCGAAGGAATTTATTTCATTATATCTGCTGTTTGCTGTTTTAAGGGGCATATCACCATCATTAAAAACAAAAATTACTGCACACATAATATTTCCTTTAAGGAATACATTTCATACCAACAAACATGGATATTTGAGACGGCATGAAAGGTCTTATATAAAATTGTAGTAATTACAGAATGTCTTCTAAATGGCAACCTTTATTTCTATAAATTGTGAAAATAGCTCAAATAATTAAATAATGAAAGGCATTTTTTTGACTATTAAGGACAAACTTGACCAGTAATGAACGATTCAAGTCAATTAGTATTGACTGCAGACTTGTATGAGCACTCAGTGTTAGAGAAGTAAAGAAACTACTCAATAGCGTTTGTAAGAGGACCTCCGATCTGTCCGGCTTCATCTCATTATTGATCACTCTCTTAATCTCTGGAGAGTTCAGTGAGTGTTTTGTCTAATGAAGTTTGATCATATGTGTTTCCTCGCTGTTTGGAATCTGTGCATAATTAAAAACGATCATTTTGATTTACCTTCTTAATGAATTTGCATGATGATTATAATTCTCCCACTGGCCTCTCTTACAGTAAGAAACAGAGCCTGATGGACACACCCATTTACAGTCTTTAATTCAATTGAAGTAAGTTTAGTCTAAGAAAGCAAAAACCCTTAGCAAACAATATATTCTTTAACAGTTGTAACATTTGTCACAATTTGTCACAAGTATTGGCACCCCTGCATTTAGTACTTTGTGCATCCTCCCTTTGTCAGCATAACAGCACTACAGGAGTCTTCTCCTATAATGCTTAATGAGATTAGAGAATTCAGAGCAAGCAATCTGAGACCACTTTTCAACACTGAATCTCTCCAGATCCTCCAGGGTCATCTCTTCCTCTTCAGCTCACCTTTCAGGTTTTCAGTGGGATAGCCATGTCAAAGCTTGATTCAGTGGTCAGTGAACCATTTTTGTGTGGATTTGGGTGGACAGTAGTCTCTGGCAAACCCCAGCTGTGTATGTTTGTGATTAGATGAAAAGGCTTTCATCTGGCACATTCTGAATACCGTATTGGTATAGAGGCGACGTCTAATTGTAGGGAAATTTTCTTTCTTCCTCATCACTGTACATGAGGACAAAATAAACTTGTGTCATCTTCCAAGCAGGTTCACTACGTCTCTGGTTGTTTTAAACTTCTTTATTGTTGCCCTAACAGTGGATGTGGATATTTTTAGGCATGGTTTGGTCATTTTTATTGCCAGATTTATGAAGGCCAGCACTCATTTCATCTTCGTATTCTCCAGTGTTCTTCATGTCCTCTGTGTCGCCTCATATTTATACCTCAGTGAAACAAGGGGCCAAGGATGACTGCTTAAGGGTTCCTGAACACTCATGGACTTAAAAAAAGTGTACTATACAAATATAAATGAGAACATGCTTCAGCTACATGCTGTTCATAGGAATTTCTAGGGGTGCCAATAACTGTGACAAAGGAAAAGATTTTCAGTGTGAGATGGAGGTTATTACCCACAAAGACGATTTTCATTACCTTTTACCTATTTTTGTCAAAGGTGTTTTATATCTTTTATATCAAAAGTTTATATCTTTTATATTTCTATGTTTTATATATTTATATACGGCAATTCATACCTACAGGAATGAAAACTTGTTGCATTATCTCATGTTTTTGTTTAGGATCATTAATCCATTCTTAGGTGAAAAACGTGCAACGGTGACTTTAACGTACTCCTCAACATTCTGTCTCATAGTAACTAGTTATTGTACAATTGTACACATTGCACACTGGCAATTTACCTGCTCACCTGCACATTTTTTCCTATTTGTACCATCTGGAAATGATTGAAAAGCAAATCATCTGCTGCCATGCACAGCTGTTTTAATGCAGGCCAGCGCGGATTGAAAGTGATGAAACATGCCCAAGAGAAATACAGTTCCAGCTTTCATTTAGATAGACTGGCCTCAGATCAATTATTTCAGTGCTGTGGCTGCTGTGAGTGAGCAACCGTGGTGGTAAATA